AATTGCGTCCTTAAACCCAGCAGTAATTTATTTCATAAATTTGACGTTTCTTTTGTACCCTGCATTGTTGGCCTCACGCAGAGGGAGACTGCTGAACGGGTCGCACACACCTCACCTCTGCTGTGATCTATTATCAAGCAGCGCGCGGTAAAAATATCCTCCTTTCAGCTATTTAAGAAAGCCGGATGGCGTTGTTGTGGCAGGACCGCGGCAGTGTTGAGAGTGCTTTCTAATTGTCCTGTTTGGGAACAAGGCAAACGAAAGCAGCGAGCGCCAGGCAAAGGTGATCGCTTCAAAACAGATGACGTTTCAAAGATGAAGTGAGATTCATGAGGGATAATTTTAGATGCGCTCGTGAGGTGCATCTGACTGTGTAGCGTACTCTTACAACAGTCTGACAGTGTAGCGTACTCTTACAACAGTCTGACAGTGTAGCGTACTCTTACAACAGTCTGACAGTGTAGCGTACTCTTACAACAGTCTGACAGTGTAGCGTACTCTTACAACAGTCTGACAGTGTAGCGTACTCTTACAACAGTCTGACAGTGTAGCGTACTCCTACAACAGTCTGACAGTGTAGCGTACTCCTACAACAGTCTGACAGTGTAGCGTACTCTTACAACAGTCTGACAGTGTATCATACTCTTACAACAGTCTGACAGTGTAACAATATATGGTATAAAGTGTACGTTATTTGAACAGGGACAGTGTGCAATTAAACATTAACACCAAGGAGTAGGAGTGGGAACCAGGGCTGGACTGGCCATCGGGCGTACCGGGCAATGCCCAAAGGGCCGATGCCCATATTTGGGCCGGTCTGTTTGCCTCATACAAAAAAAATGTTTGTGAAAAGTGTAAATCCGTTGAGAAATGTTTGAGGGGAGAGCGCGTGTCCGCGGGGCACCTGCTGTATGTACTGGAACGGGATTCCACCACCTCAGCGGCCGCAGTGTTCCGGCATCCAGCGGCTCTGAGCTGGACGCAGGAACCACTCACAACACAACACGGTGAGCGCGTAGCCGCAACGTGACCATGTACCCAAGACCATAAACGCACACAGGACCATGCATGTCTTTGCGTAAATTGTGCACCCAATAAATACACCGCTGCAGGAAAAAGTCCGCGTCTCCCCTTTCCTCTCGAAGTGCGACTAAATTAAAGCTCGGGTACCTAAATTTTCCATTGCATTAAAAGTTAATGTTTGAGCCCAAAAGTAAAATGTTGTGAACAAATTAAACAGATTTAGAGCTAGCCAATGGCTGACATTATGCATTTCAGACTTTTTTGACCAATTCTCATGTCTGTGTCCACCTCCCTCACTCTGAGACATGTTTATTACTCTCTTGTAATGTAGACTATTGCACTTTATTTTTTTGTTGAAACTGTAGACATCCTGATCCTCTACAGCAGTGTTTTTCAACCACTGTGCCGCGGCACACTAGTGTGCCGTATGATATTGTCTGGTGTGCCGTGAGAAATTCGTCTACTTTGTCTAAAAATAACTGCATTCGCTGTTGACGAGCGGTGACTTGTTTTGAACTGTGGAGTAACCATGTAATACTTTTTCAAATCAGTAGATGGCAGCAGATAGCTAAGTACTTTGAAACTGAAAAATTGGATGCGACCACTGGCTGTAACAGGTCAGCATTGTGGCGAGAAAGGTAAAATTGGATGCGACCAACAAATGTGGGAGGGAGCGAGACAAGAGCTTTGTTGCGAGTGAGAAGTGAAAGTGATAGAGACGTTTTTGAAAATGAATTATGCCGTTTCTGAACAGGATTAACATCCTCCGCTCTGCCCCGGGGCAGCTGTGGCCGCGTTGTAGTGGTTTAACTATGAAATGTACAATTTTTGTACAACAGCTCTCGCGAACGCACTTCTGAACTGGGTACCGAGCGCAGACCATAGTCGAGTGGACAGAACCACAGACATGCGGACCGGACAGAACCATGGACTCGCGTTCAGGACCTCCCGTGTCCCTCATCCAAAACTCCTGAATTTAAAGCTCGGATACCTAAATTTTTCCCATGCACTAACAATGCATGTTCTTTGTGTGAGTTATTATTTGACTATTTGGGCAGAGAGTGGATTTTCTTAGTTTATTTCCACACAGTTAGTGCCACTTTATTCCCAAACTCTTGTTAATTGTATCGAGAAATATTAAATAAAGCTTAATGTCAAGGCCTGGACTTAAGCATTTTGATGAGAATAACTGTATATTGTGAATATAGGCTACAGAGTATACTGTATACATTATAAGATAAGATAAGATATACTTTATATATCACACAGAGTATGTACAGTATATATTTTTACATTAGTACTGTATACATTTTTACATTTTCTCCTGGAGGTGTGCCGCAAGATTTTTTCAGTGAAAAAAGTGTGCCTTGGCTCAAAAAAGGTTGAAAAACACTGCTCTACAGTATGCTTCCACATACTGTATAAACCAGGGGTCGGCAACCTTTAGTGCTCCTCCAGTGGCTCCTGGAGCCTTTTCAAAAATGTCTGAAAATGGAGTGGGAGGGTTATATTTTATTCCTAGTTTGAATGTGGTTTCTGTAGGAGGAAAAACATTCCTAACGTATTTCAATGCTGTAAAAATGTGTATAAGTAATATTCAATTTCAACATTTCTGTCAACGTAGTGAGTCATATCCTGTGACGCGGCCCCGCGGCAGACGGCCGCTGCTGTGAACAAACCGGCGTGTGCGCACGGATCCCAAAGATAAAAAGAGAAAGAGCCGATAAGACTGGACTAAGAACAAGACTGAACATTTGCTTTCAGTCAATGAGGAAAGACTGCTCCATGTTTGCGATGTAATAGGAAGTTTTGTTGCAACACGAGGAACAATGAAGCACTAAATACCGTTCACAGGGATTACGTGAAGGATTCTTTCATACAAAATCCGGAGCACCTTTTTCAGACTTCAAAAACCTCTGCAAAGGCTGTGAAAGAAAAGGCCATTAAGGACATTCAGCTCCAGCAAACTTCAGCCTGTGACGTGATCGATATGAGCGGACAGTGCAGGTGTGTGACCTTTGAGCCAAAAAGCAGATTTATTGACTGTATTTCTACAGTTGCATGAAGGCAAAAAAATGGAAGTCAAAGTTAAAGCAGAGTCATCACGTGGTGCGTCATTCTCTCCAGGACACGCTGCAGTGAAAACACACATTTGACAATCATGAATGCTTATTATGTATTTGTAGCCTTTACTTGGTCATTTAGATATTAGGCTAATGTAGCTAATGTAGGTACATTGTGTAACCTTCATATAAGCTTTATACAAGGCTGTTATTTTTTTGCCGCTCCAGACAGATGTTTTTAGTTTTTTTGTGAAATATGGCTCTTTGAATATCACGATAACGATATTACGATAACGATTTTATCACGATATGACAATTATTGATATATTGGTCAGAAATATACAATATGCCAATTAATGGCATAAATAAAGGAAAAAATACTCCATTTCATGGTAAATGGAATGGAGATGCGTAATGTAGCCATATATTAAGTATTGATACCAATTCCAAAAAAAAAAAAAGTTTAAAAAATATATATATATATAGATTTTTTTTTTTTTTTTTTGAAAATCGATATTGATACTTGGCAAATGCATATCGATAATCGAATCGTGGGAGAAAGTATCGCGATATATCAAAAAATCGATATATCGTCACACCCCTACCAAGGAGTATTAACAGTTGCTCAGTTGGTAGAGCATTGGTCTTTGGATATAATGGTTGTGGGTTCGATCCCCTCCCACTGATGTCTGCTGTTGTTGTGTCGCTGGGCAAGACACTTAACCCAACTTTGCCTGAAGGAGGATCAGTGAGGGACTGGTGCTTTGACTCACTACGACTGTCTCCCTGTAGTCCTCCTCAGTCCTGCTCCCGGCCCTCAGTCTTCTGCAGCTGTATTTTACAGTGTATGCACGGCTTTTGACAGCTGCAGCAGAGTTCAGTCTGAGATATCTCTGTTTTCTCACTTGTTTGTTCAGGTGGTTAGAAAAGTGTATACAATGTGTGGTGAGGAATTGTACAGCTTTAAAACATAATAAGCACATCTGTAAATACCTCTGAACCAAGTGCTATTATAGCTCCATTTTATTTGATTCTATTTCATCATCTTATTAAATACTATTTACATTTTAGTATCTATTATCTTCAATAAAAGGCCCTGTTTGATGTGTGCAATCTGAGTCTCTTTACTTTCTGCTGTAATGTGCGCAACAATGATATTGAAATGTCCCCACTCTGTGACAAATAAATCTTATCTTTTATAATTTAACCAATGCAACAAAGAAGGAATCACAGTAAACATGTCAGTATTCAATATTAATGGCGTAATTTTTTTAAATCGTGCCAATCACTTGTAGTTTTTTTTTTCTTTTAGCTGTGGCCAATGCTAACAGCGTACAGAAACCAGAAACATGAACCTTCTCCCCCTGCCCTCTGCTAGTTTGTGTTTTTCTCTGGTCTTGGTGCTCTCTGTGATGAGACTAAACTGGTTTGTCTAGTGTGAAATGCCAAAATGGATGTTAAAAAGCTTCTCAATGGAAAGTTTAGTTTAAAAGAGTTGCCAGATGGGTCGACTGACGAGACCAAAGCCATCTGCACATCCACTTTGAAATACACCTGATGCTAAACTTACGACTGATGCCAACTCTCCTCCTCCGCCGTGTTATTGTCAATACACATGGATCTAATATTAACAACGTATGGATAGCAAAAAACAAACTGTCCGGCACTTTGCTACTTTATTTTGTATCACTGGAGAGGCATTTTGTGTTTTCAATTATACATGTTATACTTCTGTTTATTGATAGATGTGAGTGTGATAATCTATAATCATAATATCTGATTATGGCTATCTGAAATTACAGCGGGCATCGACAATACTCAAAAACATAACAAAGAAAGTGAAAGTACAGAGAGAAAATATTCTGGTCCTTCATTTAGATTCCTGTTTTGATTCATGTGCTGTTGTATTTGCAGATCGCTGAATCGTCCAACTCCTTTCTCAACCGTATGCTGAACAGAGACACCATCACCAGAATAACCTATAAGAGTAAGTCCTCTTGAAAGCCATGATTTGTTTCTGTCCATCATTCCTTCAGCCAGAACCCCTAATCTCTCAAAGCGTCAGATTCGTTCTCCATGATCTTTAGAATCTAAAAAACGGACAAAACATATAGATTGTACCTTCATATAAAAGAGCAGAGCTACACCCAACCATTCATCTGACACATGACGACATTTTTATAACTGCCTTTCTCCTTCCTCTCTGCAGATGACGCGTATTTGCTGACAAGCCTGAACATCGAGGAAATCTACCCAGACACCAACAGTTTCATCACGTACGACGGCTCCATGACTATCCCCCCGTGCTTCGAGACCGCTACCTGGATTCTCATGAACAAGCCGGTCTACCTGACACGCATGCAGGTAACCGCTGCTGCTCCCCACGTATCAGCAAAAAATACTCCAAATTTGATTCTGATTTTAGTCAGGGAAAGCCCCGTGAGATGCGGCATTTCATTTTCGAGAGGGTCCCATGAACATAAAACAAATGCAATAAAATACAAACAATGAACATTTAACACACACGGGACAGGTTTGCTCCCTCAGATCCCACTCCAGCCCCTACAATAATACTGCATTCATAAAACATATACTGTGTAGTGAGATACAGGCCGTACATACAGCAGCAGGTAGAATAATTCTTGGGTTTCATATGACGTCAGGGCAGTGGCGCGAATAACAAACGTAGGACAGGACGTGTCGTATCCTGGCGGTGCAGTCTGCCGGGTTTATACACGGAGATATAGTAGAAGAAGAAGCGCTGTTAAAATGCCATGTTTTTGTGCAGTGTACGGCTGTAACAACCGCGCAAATACTGTAGAGAGAAAGACAAGAGTTTCTTCCGTGTTCCATTTGTGGTCTCATATAAAGGAGTACACTTTGACAAAATCACTCGAATGAGGCGGGCGAGGTGGATCAAGGCTTTCCCAGATGAGCGCCCCCTGCAGTTTTTCTTTCCAAAAATGCCCGAAATATTTTTCAGAACTCCCTTAGAATTGAGTGTCCCCGATTAAGACTGCTACAACAACCGTACACCGCACAGGAGGAGAGCCTTTTGACTACAAAACAGACACGATTTACATGGTTTTCAATGGGAGCAACACTGAATTGTCCCACCTCAGCTCATTCGCCCCCTACTGGCCAGTTTAATACAATACAATAAAATTTACAATGTATTCTTGTATAGCCTCAAGTCACAACAGAAGTCATCTCAGAGGACTTTAATGAAACCCAAGAATACAACTTATAATGTACATACAGGTATATACAAAAAAAAATAATCATAATCATAAATATCATCTCTTGTACCTAGAACATACAGTAGTTGTTAGAATAATCATTTATGAGCAAGAAGACTGACTGTATTCTTTCTAACAGCTGTTTCATGAACCTCTTTGCATACACGGTAATAGAATATGTTTTGTAGAAGAATGCAAGTATAAAGTCGGTGTTCCACTCGGCCTGGACACATCTGTGCAAGCTCTGTGCTCTTACATATTCTGGGCACCTGAGCGAAAAGAAAAACATCACCATCTGTACGTCCAGAAAGTATGTATGTGCTGTGTGCAAACGTCAGCAGATGGAGGTTTGCATCGATCGCTCCTCGCTGTTTATCTGAAAAAGATCGATGACTTTGTTCCATCCGAAGGTTTTTCTGTTACTTTGCTCAACACTTTTCATCCCTCACATTGTAGCACACGTGTGTATAATTACTTAACATTGAAGACGACGTTATTTTGATATTATTAACACGGAGATCAGGCGGGTCTGTAGTTTGATCCTGTGTCAGTGTTGTAAAGTCCTTCGAGATGACTGCAGAGATATTTATTTATTTCTTTCTTTATGGACATTTTATTGGAGAATAAATCCCATGAGATGTAGCATCTCGTTTTCATGGGGGATCCTCATGATCATATCCAAAGAACATAGGATGGCAGAGTAGATACAGTCAAGTAAAAACAAAACAAAAACAAAATAATTATAACAATAACAATAAAACATAATAGACAGTAATAATGATAATACAACAAATAAAAATAAAAATGATAATACAACAAATACTTCACACACACATACTTCACACAACACTCATGCCACACACTCACACAAGCTCTCACTATTCCCTCACCCACTATTTACAGACAGACAGTCATAAGATACAGTAATTATCATTTACTAAGTGTATATATTCATACATACATACATGCATATAAGCAGATACACATACACACACATATACATATAAACATGTATATACACAAACATATACTGTACATACATATATACAGTACATATATCCACACATACAAACACATATTCATAGACATACATATGTCTAAAAGCATACACATATAAACAGATACCATGCACGTATACATAAACAATTTGGAATACACATTATTTCTTTAGCTATATATGAGATGTTACAAACAAAGACAAGTGTTCTTAAGATGAGTTAACCGAGCCGTTCGGAATAGAGGAAAGGATGTGACCGAGTGGAAGCTGGAAGGTTGTTCCAGTCACGAGGCGCCCGGACACAGAAAGCATCATTTCCTATTTCTCTCTTTATTCTTGGGACAGTGAAGAAGAGATGTTCATTGTGACGAAGATTATACTGTGACCTATAGAGCACTAAATATTGGGATAAAAAATAAGGATTTTGAAAGTAGATACATTTAAATATAAGCTGCCCCCATAGGACACAATGAATGGGAGTCGCTTCAGTCCTGCATTGCATGGCCTTGGTACTCGTTGTACATCCTGAGTCCTGGATCTAATGCTTGTCCGTCCCTCAATGTGGGCCTTCTGGAGCTTTCTCACTTTTTTCACTGGGTTCACTGGGAGTCGTTTCTTTGCCGATGCAGGAGGGTCTAAGGACAATGGTGATGATCCAAGACATTTGATGTTCATTGACATTTAGATAGATAGATAGATACTTTATTGAACCTCACAGGAGAAATTCAAGTGTCCAGTAGCAGCAAAAATAAAAAATATAATTGGCGAGTCACAAGGTGGAGCAGCCGCTTGGTTCGGACCATTGTCTCTGCTCTAGTCCAAAATAAAAAGCTAAATGCTTCATTAGCATTATTCAAAATGTTAGTATTCCTCCTGTGGATTTTCACCTGATCCGCTTCGTTTGGACCATGAATCTTCTCTGCTCTGGTCTGGACCAGTGTAAAACCATGAACACTGCACAGCAGCAACATCTCAGGCAGAAAAAAGCAATAAAAATAAAAATAAAAATAGTAAAACACAAAACAACTTTTTCAGATAAACTTATATGCATTCATGGGATTTTTATGGACATCAAAAATTATTCTTCTGTGTTTGAACTGTTTGATTCTCTGATCCTCTGAGAAAACTACTCTTGTGATTTAGGGCTATTCAAAAATAAATGTAATAGAATTGAATGAGCATTAAAGGAGCAGTACTGCAGTCACAGTCAATATTAGTCCTCTCCCAGCAGCAAACACAAGGAATTATTTCATCAGTTGTTTGTCTGTCTTCATTCACATTGCTATGATAGCCGTGCTAATGTTGAATGAGTGTTTTTTTATTTATTTTTATTTGGACATTTGAGATGAGAAAAACAAAATAAAAGCAAAATAAATATACATAGATTATGCAAAATAAATAAGTAATTGATGTCCAAAATAGGAGTGGGAATAATGGATGTTGGAACGTATTTCTTCAGCGTATCAACATCACCTTTCAATTTTATTTATTCCTTATTTTTTAATCATGTATAAGTCCCACATCAAAAAGAGACTAACCTTCTTTTAATTGGGATACATGTGGTCTAAAATGATTCTTTTTACAATTAAGCTTTAATCTACAAAAAAAGTCTTGATTATTTTCTTTTACCTGATTTGTCCAATCCGTCATAAAATGTTAAATAATTTATTCCAAAATGCACCTCGCCCAGACTCAATCCCGCATCGCTCAGGTGCAAGCGTTATGATTTAACCATTCGACCAACACTGCATACCACAAATTGTAACTTCAGGCAAGTAATTCAACTGTCAATGAAGAACGCACTCCACGCAGCAAGTTTTGCATCACACGAAAAGTTTTTATCCGCCTTCAATTATCTCAATTTTCCAAAGGTGTCCCAATATAAATCTTCGTTTTAGTTTTAGTTTTGTCATTAATGATTTGAGAATCCTAACAATACCTTTTTTAGTTCTGTGGCCACATGTTATTTTATCAGGGAGATTAGCTAGTTGCGGGGAGATCTGGCAACCCGGATTTCGGACTTTCTGATTGGTGAAACGGCGGAGGGTAGGACATCGAAATGAAAACAATAACAACTTTTACTGGTCATAAAACTAATTTTGATATTGAAATATCTCGGCTGAACTACTGTTTTCAGTTAAAGATGTATTCGAAAAGAGCATGATTTAATAACGCCTTTTGAAATATTGGGGACATTTTATTATAACATATAATATATGTCATAATGCTACTTTAACAACATTTGATCTGTCGTTGGTGAATCAACCAGTTTGTGAAGTCCTCAGAGACGATTGCTGTTGTGATTTAGGGCTGTAAACAAATATATTTCATTGAATTTAATTACACCATGACCTTTGCATCTGCTCCTTCAATATTCTACACATTTCATTACACCTCACAAGATTTCATACCATAGGGCACTTTAGTTTGTATTTATGAGCCACACTTTAGTTTAGTATTTATGAGCAAACATGTCCATGCTTCCACAGTCTCTTGATGTCCCAAAATGTGTGTGTTTGTGCGTGTGTGTGTGTGTGTGTGTGTGTGTCTCTCAGATGCACTCTCTGCGCCTGCTGAGTCAGAACCAGCCGTCACAGATCTTCCTGAGCATGAGTGATAACGTGCGCCCGGTTCAGCCGCTCAACAACCGCTGCATTCGGACCAACATCAACTTCAGCCTCCAGGGGAAGGACTGCCCCAACAACCGCGCTCAGAAGCTGCAGTACCGCGGTGAGACACACATGAGACACACATGAGACGCACATGAGACGCACATGAGACGCACATGAGACGCACATGAGACGCACATGAGACGCACATGAGACATCAACGTCTACCAAATTGAACTTTCGCTGGCTGCATAAGCACTTTTCTATCACAGGTGGAAACTTGGAGAAAACAAAACCTTGGCTTTTCGCGCTGCCTACACAACTCCAGTTCATTGTCCAAGAGGGAGGGATTATGGGAATGTCTGGGGCTGACATGGCACAAACTCATAAAGGCATAAAAGAGTGCATTATTACACCTGTGACTGCTCCACATCACTCACTTTTATCCTTTGTCCAGAGTTATGAAGCTTTGTGTCTGCAGTATTTTCTCCCATAAACTCGAGTTATTTCTACTTATGGTGTATTGTGGCTGTTTGTAGCTGAGGTCTTACATGTTTGATTCTCTGATCAAAAGATTTACTTTAGCTGAGATACTTTCTTTTTTTTTCCTCTTTGCAGATTTATCCTTTGACACACACATGTTTACACGACCAAGGGGCGAAGTACACTGAGGATAAAACAGGGATCATGGGAAATTCCACCTTGCTCATAACTCTATTTATACTATTTATATGTTTGACACGAGCAAATGTTTTAATCTGACCAACGAAAGATTGTTTCAGATTAACATCCTTCATTAATAATCATTAACTTTGATTAAGTGTGTTCTGGTCATTGGTGCATTTTTGCTGAAGGTGGAGTCTTTCCAAGATGCTGGAGGAAACCACCGTTTCCACGATGTAGCTTTTAGTGCCACACAAATACTCCCCCTCCTCATATCCAACGCTCCGGTTGAAAAGGCTTTTTCTCAGGTCACACTTTTGAAAGACGACCTCTGAAACAGAATGGATTTACTCCTTCTGTTCGGGTCTTAGGCCTAATGGTTTAACATCAGCCACATCCTCCCCAACAATCGCTGAAGTCCTTTGACTCCAGAATATCTTAGAGCTTTGGTGTTAACAACATTGTTCTTAATGATGCTTCAATCAATAGAATTCTTAATTTGGCCATAAATGTTTTATAATCGCTCAGGCAGTTCCACCTGCGCATGTTTAAATGGTTTTGATGTTATGCAGAATATGTTACTTGTTCTAGTCTTTGTAGATTTAATCGAGGCTGTAGTGGCAATAAACAAGGTTTGAGTTTTCCAAGAACCCTTCCTATGTCTTCCTTTTCTTCCTATTGAAGTTGCATCCAAGCTGATGCTGTCAGGGTCAGCCTGGCAGCCTGAATCAAAGACATCCAAGAAAGAAAAAATAAAGTCAAATGCAGTTCCTAGTCAGCCTGGTCTTACCAAACCATTGTACTGATTTCACTTCGTACTTAGTTCTGGATTTGCACCGTGTTTTGTGTTTCATTTTTACTTTCTTGTCAAACTTTTGGACAAAAACAAATATGTTTCTCTCCACATGCTTAGAGGACTTTGTGCTTTCACTAAACCTGTCCTTTCTCTTCTCTTGCAGTGAACGAATGGTTGTTGAAGTAGCGTTTCAAAGGGTCGACGCTCCTGCGTGGCGAGCGAGCCCGGAGAAGATCTGACGAGCTGAAAACGTTGCCACCGCCGCACATTTCACCCACAAATGTTCATTGTATAGAAACTTTTAAATTGAATGACTTTGCACTGGAAGCAAAAAGACTTCTGTTTTCATACATTGAAGAAGAACCTTGACGCTATCACATAACCCGGTCTCCCCCGAAAGAATCTATACAGACATTTTGATACATTTTTTTGGGAGAACATGGCTAAACTAAGCAAGCATTTATTATGAGACAATGCTTGGGGATTTGTAAATAGAGCTGTCAAGGACTTCAAGTCACTGCCCCACGTTTCCAACGGCCAAGATCCATCCTCGACGAGGCATGCCACCGGGACACAGCCTTACTTTCCCATTTGAAGATAAGAAAACTATGACTGGCCTCCTATCGGTGTCTCAGCCTCATTTGTACATATCCTAAAGTTAAAAATACTGCATAAAAATGTAAAGAAAAAGTCATAATAAAGTAACAAAAGATATTTAAGAGGATTTAAAAAAAAAAAAAAAAGAGTTTTAAAGATTGCCGCACTTTGAATTTTTTGGAGAGCTGATGCCTTTTTTTCTGTTTCTTTCTTGTTTACAATGGTCATACACTGTGTTTGAGTAATGTTATCAGCGCCCGATAAATGTGTCTGGAAAGTGAACCTGCGAAAGTGGCGAGCTTTACGGATTTACTGTACCATATGTATTTTGTACTTTTGTGTTTGAAATGTGTTATTAGACATTGGGAAAAATGCTCTCGAACTGAAATTGACAAAAATAAAAATGGTTCATATTTGACTTGACTTTTTAACCTGCCGTTTCATTGTGCATTCACGGTATTTAAAAGTCCAATTCAATGCTGGAAAAATCATTGCTCAATACACCTGTTGTGGAATTTCTGCACAGACCGAGAGCAAAAAAAATGTAAACAACCAAGAGCTGTAATGCAATCAAAGTGTGAGTTTATTCATTAGTAAATGTGACATATATAATGGATAACAGAACCGATACCACCTGCAGCCGTCTGAAACCGTCTGAAACCGTCTGCCCCGAATCAGGAAATTACAGGCACATACTGTATCTACTCTAGATATTACACAAGTGAATTCAGTATTGATATATGTCGCTCAAGGCTTCTCTGTACGCTTCCTTATAAATGTAGAAACACACCTCCATTTATCAGCCGACCTGCGGCCAACAGATTATATGTGCTCAATTTCAAAGTTGAGAATTGGTTAATAACTTACACTTGATGTTAATTCAGATTGCTTCACTAAAATATTTCTATAACACACCCTTGCTTCACGTTGGGCACAATTTCTTCCCCAAACTTGAGACATATTTATAGTGTGTGACGTTTTTAATTTAAATTCTTTTTTTCCCTTTATTTATCCATTTCTGGGTCATGGGAGGTGGTGGCATTCAGAGATGCACCCAATTCACAAAGCATCAGTCCTTCTCTGATCCTCCTGCAGGGGGCGTGTCCACGGGAAGATGGCTGCTCCTTCAACAAAGATACGGCCTTGTTGTTTCAGCGGGGGCTTCAGGCAAAGTGGGGTTAAGTGTCTTGCCCAGGGACACAATGACAGCAGAAGTACAGATGAAAAGGGGTTGTGGTGGAATCGAACCCACGACCATTAGCTCCACAGACCAATGCTCTACCAACTGAGCCACATATTTATTTCTCTCTTTTCAGGTACGGCAAGTTTGTTATACTAGAGCACACTTAATAAACAAGGCTAATAAACGTGTTCTACTCAACAACAACTACTACTACTTTCTACTTTTATTTTTGTTTCATTTAACCTTTATTGCCAATTGAATTTTAAAACATCTTTTTCAAGGGAGTCCTGGACAAAATATACACACAGTTACAGATGATAAAAACAGATACATGCCAATGACGTCTCAGGGGCTTTCAGTCTGTATCTAAAAGCATTCAAAAAATTAAACTCCAGATAATTTCCAGTCTTTTTGCAACACGTTCTACGTAAAAGAAGCGCAACAATGGAAACAAGTATAAACATACATTCACAAACTACAAATTGGAGACAAAATCTCTCACAGGAATCATTCACTTTCAGTCCCAGGTGAACTCAAGTGGACTTTAACTGAAACTATCAAAATGCTTCAGATGTGAAACCACCAAACAAGAGTGTGCTGTTCCTGTAGTCATTACAGTCATTTCACAAATATAGTATGAACACGGCCATAGTACCGATCAGGAGCAAGGCTGGTCTGGTCTGGTCTGGTTTGGTCTGGTCCCAGCCAAATTCTGGGATAGAAGACTCTTGATTGGTCAGTTTCAGTTATTATCATTAAAGAGTTCACTAAGAGCTCCTATTGTTTGTTCTGCCTAATTTAAAAACCCATATCAATAGGCCTATCAATCTACGCATCAGGCCTCCTTTACTTTTGTCTTTGGGATTTTCATCTGGTCTTTGAAATAAATTTGCACACGTTTGTTTTTCTATATCAGATAAAAACAAATCACATGACGTCCTTATCAGCTGCTTTTTTCCAGACACAGTCGACGCAGCCAACCTACTGTATGTGGTTTACATGGCGCCCCCTGCTGGTGTGTGGATTTACGGGCTGACTGTGAGGAGTGTCGGGGGTGAAGTGTCTTGCCTAAGGACACAACGGCAGTTTGGCACTTTACAGCCGCAGCCGCCCTACTGTGGCATCTGGTGTTCCCAGAGGTTAAGTGTCTTGCCAAGGACACAACGACAGCAGACAGTGGGAGTCGATGGTGAAAGTCTTGAGGTGGGCTCGAACCCACAACCTTTTGGCTCAAAGGCTCTACCAACTGAGCTACTGTTGCCCACAGTAATAACACTGTTGCTTTGTCTGATAAAGGAGAACAATAGTCATGTTTCCACCGCAGGAGTTCCTGGTAAAAGGAGGGGGTGGTACATCCACAGGAATCGTCCTCTCAGTGTCTCCACTGCAGAGTAGGACCCGGCGGTGTTTGTGGTCTTTGATATTTTCACGGCATTGTTTCGGAGTGTGATAAATCCTTGGTGCTTCGAGGTGAAGCTGATATTTTCTTGATATATCTTTTCATTTCGCCGCAATGCCTCAAACCCCGTATGAATTTCTTTGGTCGCGCAGAAGGCAATCAATGCCTGCATCTCATCATTCAATCCAAACATGAAATCATTTAGTTCTGAAAAAGCTTGCAGAAAAAGAATATTCACCACAATACCTAGAAATAATCTTTGGTCCATAATGTGACCGTATAAATCACAGATACAAAAGGTGAGAAAACCATGGAGCTTTCATTTTATGATTTCAGCCTGCAACAAGAAAGAATCTGACGGACTGTGGTGAATATTTCAAAAGCGGGAAGATGCAACAGAGACGACCAGGTGTTTCCAAGTCAATCTGCGAGAGAGTCACAAACACAATCACACATTCAACACAATCACACATTCAAAACACAAGTAAATAAGGTCTGCATTCACTGTAAGCAAGTCAATTCAATCTTTCACATTTCCGGATCATCAGGTCACAACTATCTCTGCAAGCAGCAAAAATGTTTGAGCACTCCATGGTCCTATCTCACATCATTCACTGTTTAACAACTTGGTCACAGGCAAATAAAACATCATTACTGTAATATTCTTCAACAGCACAGGCTTTTAAACTGCGACAATCTCATCAAGTATTCAAACCTCTGTTTCCTCCACTCAGGAACACTGCTCTGTCTCAACGGGTAACAAGAGAGAGACCAGAGAGAGACCAGAGAGAGACCAGAGAGAGACCAGAGAGAGACCAGAGAGAGACCAGAGAGACCAGAGAGAGACCAGAGAGAGATCAGAGAGAGATCAGAGAGAGACCAGAGAGCAGCCATTCCCAAAGTCAGTAACACCTTAAAAATCTTAAGTAAGACCTTAAGTAAGACCTGCCCCCTTAAAAATCTGGCAGGTCTGCGCGGCCCCCCAAAATACTAACTAAGACGAATACGTTAAAAATAAGCTCTTCTCGTTTTTTTTGTTTTTGTTTTTGTTTTTTTTATTGTTTGTTATACACATAATTAGATGCATTTACAGTTGTTGACAACAAGTACAGTGTATGTGCGTGTTTTTTTATTATATATACACAACCCCCCCTCCCACTACCACCCTCCCTCCCCAGTTCGTCTCCAGGTTGACATTGTATCTCGTAGAGTTATGTTTGGCTATGTAAAAAGGGTAAATAAGTAAGCATGTTCCTAAAACGGGAAAAATAACTAAAAAAAAGCATGTATGTGTACGAATGTATACACATGCACACACATATACATACATATACATACATACACACATACACACAAACACATATACATATGTACACATATATACACACACACACATACACATACATAAATAATTGCAGAAAATAAAAAGAAATAAGAATAAAAAAATTAAAAAAAATAGAAAATAGAGAGGGCACCCGCATGTATTCGCATGTATACATATACATAGGTACACAAGTATACGTCCATCCATATTCATGCATACACTATACATACACCCCTGCATATATGTGCAGATACACATCGCCTATACACACACAAGTTCATATACATTCAGAACACGCCTTCATACATATTGGCACCTGACCAATACTTTCAATATATGTTTAGAGAGCCCTTAACCCGCTCCTATAAAGTCAATAAAGTGTGACCATATCTTAAGAAAAAGGTCTTGTTGTTGATGTAGCCTAAGGATCATTTTTTCGTAGCTTGCTGTTTTTATCATCCATTCCAGCCATTTGTCGAAGGATGAAGGAATTGTAGATTTCCAGTCTCGGGTTATAATCCGACATCCTGTAATCAGAACGATGCTGCACCATCGCAATCGTTCAGAGGACAGTTGATCTGCAGGAACCAATCCGAGCAGGCATAGTTCAGGTTTGTTGACCAGTTTGACTTGAAACAAGTTATTGATAAGGTTAATAATATTTTCCCATAGGCCTAAAACAT